ATGATACTGTTCAGTGCGCTCCTGGCTAAAGTAATGTAAAAAGTATCAGCATCATGGACACTTTGACTTTTAAATAGTTTTTAGATGAAGGTGTTGGAAAAAGTACAGGATGGATGGTTTAGCTGTTAGCCCTTTCCTCCCCGACAGCCTCGGCATGAACACTGAGGAGCAAAGGGTGACCAGCTGGCCATGGGTTCTTATCAGGGTTTGTGCTTTAAAAGCCTTTGAGGAATGTTGGCAGAATGCCACCCTTATTCTGCTCGCTGCAGACCATCGGTTTACAAGGACTGTGCTTGGAGGAACATTCTTGTGTTGAAATGCTGATCTAAGATCAGGTTTCCTGGTCCTCAGCACTAGTTGAACTGTACTGATTTTTTTGTTGTTGTTGCATTGATCCAGACATGGTGTACTTTGTGGTGCTGGCTCTGAAGGTGCAAAGTCTGTTGTGCTTGAATTTATGATGCTTTTAAAACAGCTAATGAAGACAAAATGTAAACAGGATGTAAAAGAAATAGTTCACTCAAAAAATGAAGGCTCTATAATTTGTAATCATCCTCATGTGGTTCCAAAACCATATGCTTAATAAAATTTATGAAGGCTGTTTCCATACAAAAACAGTTCATAGTGACCTCCTCCTCCAAAAATTGAGAAAAAAGCACCATAAAAGGCAATACAACATGTGAATAATGTTCCAGGTCTTTTGAAGTCATACAAAAATTTTGTGTGAAATTTACTTTATTTAGTAACAATCTTCAATAATCCCTTCCAGTGAGTTGTTAACCACCGTGAATGATTGAGTTGAACTAGAGAGTGGAATCAGTTGTGTTCCTGAATGAATTGTTTTGTTCGATTTTATGGAAATGGTTAGTATAGTGAAAAGAACAGGCTCAAAAGTGTGATTCATGAACTAATTAGATTGATCCGTTTCTTAAATCCAACTCAGTGATTTGGTTCCAGTGAATTATTGAGTTTGTGAATAACGTCCTAAATGGCTGTCTGTTCCTTACAAAATGACTTGAAGACTTGAAATATATATAACACACAAGTTGATTGACTACATTTAAATACTTTTTATCCTTAACAGACTCACTATCAAGACCTGTATGAAGATTCTTCAAAAATGTCTCTATTTTTTATGTTCCACAGAAAAAAAGTAAACAGCATATGGGTTTGGAACGGCATGAGAGTGAGTAGATAATGGCAGAATTTTGATTTTTGAGCGAACTACTAATTTAAATGCCAGATTTTATCTTGGATTTTCCACACTGAGTTTTGGATTTCACCCAAATCCAGTCTTTTGCTTTGAGAAGCTTTGAGAGTACACGCAGAGAAGATTTCTGTCCGGCACTGACCAGGTGATTCTGGTCTTCTGACTGTCACTTTAAATCGAACAACAAGTGATAAAATGCTTTCTAAATATTGAATGTTTGTATAATTGCCACTTTCACACACTCAGGCTGTTCATTATTACTTGAGCTATATGAAAGCCATTTAACAAATGCAGGTAGTGCAGAATTCGTCGAATTAAGAGGCCGCTCTGCATGAGCATAACTAATTCACATTGCCCTGAAGGGGTTTTGCAAGCTGAAGATCATTTTGCAATATTAAACATGGCTCTTATTAGGTCAATTTCTCTTTTTTGTAATTCATATTACTCTCTTGTGATACAGGCAGCTGGAGTACTGCATTTCCTCTGTGTCTGCAGACTGTCTTTATGCAAAGCAAACTGGGACGAGAGACAGATAGAGAATAAGGTGCATGGAGCGAAAGAGAGAGTGACATGGAGGGAGATAAAGAGAGACAGATGGACTGACCAAGAGAATAAGGAAATGCAGCGGAGACAGGCGGTGAGACGGGAGATTTGTGAAGACTCGGGTGCTGTCAGTAAGGAGCTGGCTTGAGCTAGTGTCTCATTCTCACACAGCAGATTGGAAGAGCAGATTGCGCTCTGAGATGCCCTGAGATTTGGGCAGCTTCCGATGGGGGATTTGTAGAGATTTGGTTAGAAATCTGCCCATAATGAATGTTAAGTGAAAAGCGCCTTCATCATCTTCTCAGCAAAGACATTGTTTTCTCTGAGCGCTTGTTCTGTTAGTTTTGGCTCGGTGTCTTAAGTGTCACAGTCCTGAGATGACAGTCTATAGCTCCATTAACTGGTATGTGCAGACCACACAAACAGACGTTTTATGAATGAAAACGCCTCATTTGTTTGTCTGTGGAGACAATAGATGAGAAGATTTTTTTTGGTGTTTTCTATGGCTGTCATGTTTTTTTTACATTTTGGCCACTTTGTGTCCCAAGGTATTGGTGTTTTTGTTTGTTTGTTCATTTATTAATAACATTGCTAATTTCAGATAACTAAAGATTTTTTTCACATTCTTCCCAGACCCAGACTTTCAATCATGAAAATTATGATAATCCATTATAATTTCACTATTAATATTAATATTAGTAGTAGTAGTAGTAGTAGTAGTAGTTAGTGTTGTCACGGTACCAAAATTTCAGTATTCGGTACCAATACCAGTGAAAATCCACGGTTCTCGGTACCAATTTCGGTACCTTACAGTAATAAAAGTTATAGGAGCATTAAATAGTTAAAGAAATCATTTTGAACAAAATTCATTCTAATGCTCATTATATTAGCGTTAGCCGCGCTTATGCTAACGATTAACGGCTAACGGCGATGTTTATTTTAATCTGAAATTCAAATTAAAATATGGAATTCCCAACAGAACAGAAGCTCTAAATATTAAAAATGTAATTGAAACTTACCTGCTTGAACTTGATCGGGGTGTTTTATTAGTATGATGCGTTTCCTCCTCTTGAAGTCGCCGTTAATGGGGTTGTTTTTCAACCCGCGGACATAAAAAACAACCCGCGGCAACAGTGTTAAAGAAGCCCAATTCCGCAGGAAAACTGCGGACTTGGCAACACTTGAAGAGGATAGCTTTCGGATAGCGCATCAAGAACCGGGTTGACCGGGTTCTCGGTACCACCGGTACTTTAAAAAACCTGGTACCGTAACGTTTTCATTTTTTTAGTACCGACTTGGTACCGAAATACCGGGTCTTTTGACAACACTAGTAGTAGTATTTTAAAATAAGGCAATGGATTTAAATAATCCCCCTGTCTGTCTATGATTACATTTTTTATTTTATGTTTTAATAAATTAAATATTTTTTATTCAGCAAGGAAGCATGGAATTGATCAAAAGTGATGGAAATTTAAGAACAGTAAATAACATTTATGTTACAAAAAAACAATCTCTATTTCCAATAAATGCTGTTCTTTTGGACTTTTTATTCATTAAAGAATCCTTAAAGTTTCATGGTTTTAGCAAAAATATTAAGCAGCACAACCGTTTACCATTGATCATAGGGCTGCACAATTAATTGCGATTACAATTATGGATGCCACAATTACGTAATCGTTCAAAGCGGCAATTAATCATTCAAAGTCCACTTATGTTATTCTGCGTGCTTAAGATGCGTTGTTTTCTTTCTACATCTTATCTTAAGGGTTTTTCCCATTATTTTAATTTTAGTTTTAGTATAACATTATAATACCATTCATATTTTTTACTTTTTTTATAATTTAAAGAAGAAACCAATCCGATGTTTAGTTGACATTTGAGGCTTAATACTATAGAAAAGCACTAAAAGTTTTTCTGTTAGTGTTTTTGGCTTGTTTATTTTCATATAAAAATACGACATGCAGTTGCATAAAACAATGGTATAAACATCATTCAATGTAAATTGTGATAATCGTAATTAATAATCGCAATTACAATTTCAAGGGAATAATCGACAATTATGATTTTTGTCATAATCGTGCAGCCCTAATTGATCATGACAAAAAATGTTTAGCCTATTGAGCAAACCAAATCAGACAAAATCACCACATTAGAATTATTTCTAAAGGATCATGTGACTCTTAAAGGGTCATGAAACCCCCTGTTTCAGCACTGGTTAGTTAAAAAAAAACGCTAAAAAAGTGGGCGTGGTGTACAACGGAGTGGAGGGGGAAGAGGGGAGGCAGACAACGGATTCAGACAGTTTCATTTCGCTCCCATTGAGTTAAAAACACAAATAAATGCACAGCCATTTGCACTCTGTATCGAAAACATTTATATGAATGCGCTGTTGCAGCTATGATAACTCTTTAAGGCTTATTCTGCAGTGTTTATATAAGCCTTTTGACGGGTTGTGTCACGGAGCTGTAAAAACGGTTAGGCTACACTAAGTGAATGAATCGCATTTGTACCAAACTCTTAATACAAAGCAAAAACAAACACTCTCCTTCGATCCATGAACGTTTCTCTCAGTTAATGTGCGCGATGTCTTCTCACAGTGAAGCGTCTGTCATAGCAAATCAACACATGCTGTTGTGAATAATTAAGCGAAGCGTCTTCTCATGGGACAAGAACACGCAGTCTCATGAATAATTTAATAGACACCGACGCGTCATCGATGTACTATCGTCCTTTGCCACGTCACAAATTGTGATGTCAATACGATATAGATTTTAAACCCGGAAGATAAAAATAGAGCAAAAAAGCTTAAAATTAACCAGTTTTCTCCAACAGTTAAAATTATCGGATGCTAACATTGTCTGCTATGATGTGCAACACAAACACCTCTGCTAAAATCTCAGAAAAAGTAGTCTGGAGTTTCATGACCCTTTTAGACTGGTTTACTATCTTAACATTGCAATCATAGGAATACATTTCAATTTAAAGTTTAAATTATTATTTTATTATATTAAAACAGTTACTTTCCATTTTAAGTATTCAAATATCTCATAATATTTCTATTTTGCTGTATTTTTGATCAAATAAGTACAGCCTCTTTGAGCATAAGAGATCCCAAACTTACAAAAAAACGAGTAAATTTTAGAAGTGAACTGTTTTTAATTTTTAATTTATTTATTGCACAAAGTCTGTATTGAAACTCAAAGTTATGGTCAACTCAAGTTTTATAAATTTTTGTCTTTGTTCTTAGGTCTGTTGTGGAATGTCACAACTTCCTTAAGCGATCCAGCACTTTACCCTCAGCTTAATCACCTGACTGCAGTCCTGCTGTCTGATTGGATCATCTTTTGAGGTAAGAACCTATGGCATGAAGTTTGTTGAACTGATCAAAGTCACTTGAACGGTTTGTTCCGTTTTCTCCTCACGTCCTGCTCTTTTGTTGAAATTTGCTTGGTGAAGTAGAGTTGAGCCCCTCTGAAAGACAATGACTTGATTTGACAGAAAATTGAAATATCATCCAACTTCATTATTTTGGCTGGACTATTCACCCGAGGCCATCGCATGGGGGACAACGTCTGTAAATTTTTAGAAGAATACAAATATAATTTAAAAGAAACATCTGACAGTCTGTCAGACAATCTGTTTAAATCAAGTCTCACGGCGAGCAGGCGACAAACGATAGAAAAGTATCACAGTTGGAGAGGGTAAAAGGGAGGTGGGCAGATTTTCAAACACTTCAGAAAAGAGAAACAAGCAGACGATGGAATCGGAGAGAGATCACTTAAGAGAAGACAAAACAGATGAGACAGGAGACTTGACATGAAGAATGGGAAAAAATCTGCTGGAACACGCATGCATCACAGCGCACCTGTGCAAGGCCCTTTTACTCATGCCCCCTGTCTGCCCAGATATCCCTTAGAGATCAAGACACATCCCACAACGCTGGACGCAGGGCTGGTGGTGACAGGCTCTGTTGGCCGGCTGCAGGGAGCAGATGGCTGGCCAGATGCAGGGTTGCGTTTGACCTTGGGCCCCGTGGAAGGCTAAACATCATAGGCGTCCTCCGGTGCTTCCACCTTTCTACCGCTCCATGGAGCCGCTGCTTTGCTCTGACAGCTTATGGTTGTTTTATTTAGATGAGCCATATGGAGCCATTATGTGCTCCATCGTTTAGCTGCTATCGCTATTCCCAGTGTAGTTTATCACCCAATGTGTATTCGAACAAAGACGAGTTCAAGTCCCCCAGACTGTCCATGACAATGGAGATACGCCATAAGATATGACTAATCACATTCAGCTCTGTGCTCGGACCGAAAGGGATGGCAGAATTATAATTGGGGTCAGCTGATGCAGACTCGATGGAAGGGATCTTTAGCAAGTCGGCAACGCTAAGATTTATTAGCACGTATGCCAGCTGCAGCTGCCGTGCATTATTTTACCCAGAATTCTGCTGCATACCATGTGGGTTTAGAAAGATGCGAGGGAATGGGGATTGTTTTTTCTCTCTCGATTTAAAAGTGTGTGGAAATTTTGGTTTGCATGGCTACATGATTAATCAAAAATAATCACAATTACTATTATGGGTGCCGTTAATTGTGTGAAGTACTGTTTACAGCATTTTTTTCCCACTGTATCCTATCCTACACTCATCCTACATTAGGATGCACAATATTATAATCTCAATTTTCCAATACTGATAAGCCACTAATAATTTTTTATAAGCTGATAACTGATACATATCCAATATTAAAATTCTATACTATTTTATGTCTATTTTATTTTATAAGAATAAAACGCTAAATCAGTCATTTTAAATGATACTAGTGAATTATTCACAACATTATAATGTACAGTTTAAAGATGGATATTCATTTTGAGATTTGAGTGCTTTTTGAATGCTTCTAAAGATTCATTTTAAGTAAGAGTTATATGACAGCAAAGGTTATACAAGTTATTGATATATATCAAATATAGGCATTTATATTTCCAATATCATCTTATAACTGATTTTATCAATGTGCCTTGCATCACTAGTAGCTCTATTAACTATGGTATTTTGGCAAGAACTATGGTTTCCCTGGTAAATTGTTGTGAGGCTGCAAAAAATAATTATTATATTTAATATATTTAACTGCAAGTCCGCATTAATTATCACAATTACAATGTCAAGAGAAATAATCGACAGTAATCAGTTCTAATCTTGTCTTAGCCGTCATATCATCTAATTCATTGAGTTATACTTCTTTATTCTCTCACTAAGGTCATTGTAGTGTTTCCTTCAGGGAGCGTCTGTTTCCTAATGGCTTGATGGCTTTTAGCACACTGTTACCAAGTGCAATGTCTACTGATTTATTTATTTATTTGTTTTTTCATGTAAACGCTTGTGGTCACAGATATGTGCCCTGCTAATGGTTCCTAGTACCCAGTCTCTTTCAGTCTCTCAGTTTTCTTCAATAACTCATAGCACCATTCATTCAGATTTTCAACTTCATTTTACAATAGGGAGTGACGTTGACACCGTAAGAGACGCTGATAGATGTTCTTGGATCTCAGTACAGACGTTGAGCCCACATTGTGCTCTTCCACTTTTGAATCTTCATTCAAGTTCATCAAAGTACAATTTACTTTCCAATCTTAAAAGATAGCTGATCAAACACTTGAACACTGATACAAAAGACAGAAGTGAGCTTATTTTCTTCGTTTTTTGAGTTTTTGAATCAAATCATTTGTTGACTTCTGGCAGGCTCAAAACCAACAAGCCTACCTGACAATCGAAATAATCGTCAATTCTGGCTCCACGTAATTTTTCCAACAAATACTCTTCCTCTCATAAGAGGTTTATTTAACCACAGGTCAGCTGAATGGGCAGATGCCAGCAGAGGGTTTGGTCCACCATAGCTTTTTACTGATTTATAAATTCTCTCTCATGGTTTATCACTCTCATTAATGTCAGCACCTGCTGTAGCGGGGCTCTATCTGTCTGCCCGCAGGCCCTGCAGCTGTGCACTGAGCTCCGGCAAACTGCCTATCAGTTCTGCCTCCCTCCACCCTTCCACTCCACCAATAAGCGTTTGGCTGGGATAGTTGTAAAAACCTTGCTAGAATCAGGTGCACTTGCTCTGTTGATTGTAAATGTGTGTTTATCATGAGTATGCACATTCCAGGTACATTGGCATGAAAAAGTATTAGCCTGATTTTTACATATTTTTCTACCTGAATTTATTCATGCATTCACAATAAAAATGTAGGCAAAGGAAACATGGAAAACACAAAGCGTATATTTGTCGTCATGTGGTTTATTTAAAGGGATAGCCCACACAAATATGAAAATTCTGTCATCATTTTTTCACCCTCATGTCGTTCCAAACCTGTATGACTGGCTGACTTCTGTGGAACGCAAAGTTTTGGTTCCCATTGACTTCCTTTGTAATTTCTGTCCTAACAAACTGTTTAGTTACTAGCATTCTTCAAAATATCATCTTTTGTGTTCCAAAATAGTCAGTCATAAAGGTTTGGAATGACATGAGGATGAGTAAATGATGATAGAATTTTCATTTTTTTAATAATAATAAAAAAAGTAATAAATGACCCGTGTTGTCTCTGTGCAAAAGTAATTGCCCCCTTAGTCTTTGAAATCAACAGAAATTAAATTGGAGTCAGAGACTCTTAAGGCACCGATATACTTCAAACGAAGTTCGTTTTCATTCGTTTGGGGGCAAAAAGAAGTTCGAAAAGGCTGAGCGACGGTATATTGTTTTCGAACATTCCAACACCCCCGTGCTGCTGGAGGCGGGGTGTAGATTAATGTAAACGTGTTGCGACGCTCGGTGTTTCGAACTGCCGAAACTAACTCAAAATGAACTTCGTTTCAGCCTGATTTTGTTCAATGATGCCATATCAGTTCGTTCTTCGATTTCGTTTGAAGTATATCGGGGCCTTTAGTGGTGAATGTTCCCAAAAGTGGTCAGAATTTCTCAAAGGGCACACTGGCACCTCATCTGGAAAGCTTCAAATTATCACAAAAAAACTTTCAAAGAACTACAGGCATCTCTTGCATCAGCCAAGGTCACGGTTCATGACTCCGCAATAGGAAAGGGACTGTGAAAAACGGACTTTAAGGAAGAGTATCCAGGTGAAAACTTCTGCTCACCAAGAAGAACATCAAAGCTCACATCATGTTTGTTAAAGAAAGCATGTCATGATCCCAAGACCTTGGTTTATTCTATGGTCAGATGAGTGAAAATGTAAATAGCAAATACAGCATTGAACTGTAAGTAAGTGATGTGTACAGTGGCATTATGGTTGACTTGGTATGTTTTGCTGTCCGTGGTGGCCTCTGTGACTTGTTATCGTTGAAAGTAGCTTATATTCAACCATATATAGATAATTCTTTAAGAGATTGTCTGGGCATCTGACCATGAGTTGAAGCTTAAGTGTAATTGTGTGATACAGCAGGACAATAATCCAAAACAGAGTCCAGTTGACATCTGAAGTACTGAAAAGAAACAAAGGCTCATATCAAATTACAGGTGGTGTTTGATTGCCGTTATTATTGTTTAATGTTGTCTAGCCAGATATTAAATTTAAGGGGGCATTTACTTTTTCCTCAGGGGTGATGAGAGTCTGTGTTAGCCAGTTTCACTCAATGAAATTTTCACTTGGGTTCCCTTTGAGCAGCATGTCATTTTGTTTGAAATGTTGCAACCATTTTGTTCTCCGAATAGGCAATTGCTAAGGGGGCTTTTTTTTTTGTTCACTGTACTGTATGTCAATAATACAACAAAAATTTGCAAATTATGCAAAGAGAATATTGCTTTATAAGCCTTATAAGAAGCTTCTTGAGTTTTCAGATTGAGTTTATTCCTTTTTTGGTGTGCAGAACTGAAAATGGCATTAAAAGAACAAGTAGAGAAGCAGGAGGAGGAAGAGAAAAGGGGAGTCATGGACCAAAGCAGCGTTCCCCCTCCTTCTGTTCTTTTTCACAAATTGGTTTCTTAGGACCCGGTGCCGCATTACACTTTGTTTGTGCATTGTGTGG